AGGCTCTTTATTGCTGGAGCTCCGCTGCTGTGCGCTCCCTGCAGGAAATGACCCCTGATCCTAGGAAATCTTCAGCTACCACCTGGAGGTTGGCAACCCTGTCTAGAACACTTCCCAGACTCCTCCCATTCAACAAACCATTGTCTTCTTTGGAATACAGGCCAAGGTGGAAAGACTTGGGCTGCTTCCCATATCAGGCTAACTCGCTTCAAGTTGCTTTTCCTCTCCCCTGTGACGTGTAACTGTCTGCCTTCGTACCAACCATCCGCTTAACAAAGGAGCCCTTTAGAAGACGTATCAGATAGTCTGTGCTTAAGAGACCGTTAAGTGACCACTCACTGTCTGAATCTTGGTAAATGTCTGTCTTGTATTCCCTAATGTGCTAAAGGAAGCCACAGAGGTCCTCAGTTTGCAAGACCTGAGCAAGGCGGTTCACGATGGGACGTTTTGGAGGTAAGTCGGAAGAGACCTGACAGCATTTAACACACGTATAATATGCTGATACCCTGACCCGGCTGGTCCAGGTGAGCCTGATCTCGGAGCTAAGCAGGATCAGCCCTGGTTAGCACTTGGGGTGGAAAGCCACCAAGGAATACCAGGGTTGCGGCACAGAGGCGGGCAATGGCAAACCACCTCCGAGTGACTCTTGCCTCGGAACCCCCACGAGGAGGTCGCCATAAGTTGGCTGCCACAGCCAAAACGGGCTCACAGAGTAGGCAGACAGTGGTCACCAGTGTTCCCTCTAAGCTGAGTTAGTGTGAGCTAGCTCACAATTTTTTAGCCTCTGGCTCACACATGGTGGGCAGCCACCAAGGAATACCAGGGTTGCGGCAAACCACCTACGAGTGACTTTTGCCTTAGAAACCCCACGAGGAGGCCGCCGTAAGTTGGCTGCCACAGCCGAAACGGGCTCACAGAGTAGGCAGACAGTGGTCACTGTCACAGATTTTCTAAGGGATGTAAGCGGCCACGGGATGACCAGAGGTGAGAATTTTCTTCAGGTCACCATGATTGCGGAAAGACTGACGCACAGTCCCTCCTAATGGGTGAGTCAATTGTTTTGTTGGAGGGACTGGGAACCCCAAGATGAACAGCTTCAATATAGCAGTTGTGTGTGTGTGTGTGTGGGGGGGAGTTGGTCCAGCTTCATATATCTGAGGGAAACCCCCCCCCCTGCAGTTTCAACTGGCTGTCCCAGCTTGGTTGCAGAACTGGCAGGGGGGGGCGTGTGAAATCCTTTCCAGATCAGGTCTGGAATCTGACCTATTCAGCGGAATGGCTGAATAAATCTACCCGCTCCCCGGTCTCTTGCCTCTCTCCACAATTAGCAGAATCAGACTGAATTATAGAGAGATCAAGCATATCTACCCGCTCTCCACAATTAGCATAATCAGACTGAATTATAGAGAGATCAAGCAAGACGACAATACAGAGAGACCAGATATGTGGTATATAGGTCAAGTCCTGTTCGTGTATGGAAGCGGAAGGTGGGACGTGCGCGTGGCACCAAAAGGGGTGTGCCTGGGGGGGCAGGGAGAGGCGCTTGGGGCAGGGAGCAGGTTCGTCCTTTTTGTCACTCGTTTGTCCCTGTTGCTTTTCCGCCGCCCCCCCCCGCTTTCCACATGTGTTTTGCTCCCTCTGGGACTACTAGAGAGAGCAAAACACACATGGGGGGAGGGGGAACCCTGAAGCAATACGGACGAACAAGTGACAAAAATGACAGTCTGGAAGTCGCTTAATCATTTTAACTGTTTTTATATCTTGCTTTTTCGTGTTCTGATTATGTTGCGAGCTGCCCTGAGCCTATTCGTGAGGTAAGGCAGGATATAAGTTAAATAAATAAATAAAAGAGCAGAGGTCTCTGTATACTCCATAAGCTTTTGGCAGGGTTTGGTGAGGAGAAGGGACTTCAGCAGCACAGAGTCCACCTTCCAAAGCAGCCATTTTCTCCAGGGGAACGGATCTTGGGAGGTCGCCGGGCCTTATCTGGAGGCTGGTAACCCTGCTAATCACCCACTGGGGGACTACTTAGAAGATGCTACCCCTGGAAGGCCCAGACTCCCAGGTCTCCAATTGAGGAGACATGTGCCTAAGGCCCTACTTCTCTACACCTGGTGCCAAGACGGCAGGTGATCCTAGAAGAGAGCGTCAGGCAATTGGGATGGAGAGGACAGATCAGATGGACTGTGGCCCAGGGAATCAGGTGACTCTAAACAGCCAATCCCAGGCCACTACCTGCTTATATCCCTCCAAAATCTGGGGGATTCTGGGCAAAGCGTGATGCTGAGGGATGCTGGAAAGCTATCCCCCCCCCCACTGTACCTCCAGGTGAGGCCGCCTGCAGCCTGCACCCTCTGCTTCAGATACCTTCTGATTTCCAGATTTTTTTAAAGTGGGGGTGTGTGGATCCCACTAGACTTGGGCACTTAGCAGTCTCAAATGAGGAAAACGAAGATGAAAAGACATATGTTGCAAAGGAAACAAGCTTTAATTATTGTTATAACCCCTATGTGTTTCGCGTGCAGCTTCGTTAGGGGGAATCTACCAAAATAATACAAATATAAAAATATATTTAATACATCGTCTTAAGTGGTAAGAAAAACGTGACCTTGGAAGGCTTGTATGTAGCTTAACTTACAATTCTGTAGGTGCAACTTTAAAAAAGAGCCTTTATAAGAACTGGAACATACCGGATGATATTCCTATATGTAGTAAAAAACCAATTGTTGCTTATAAAAAAACAGCCAGCCTAAAGATCTTTTAGAACAGAGCAACACTCATCAGAAAAGGAATCTACAATCTGTTTTATCAGGATCTAGCCCTCCATTAGGATACTTTCCCTGTGGGCATTGCTGCTTCTGTAAAAATACAAAACCTATGAAATATTTTAGAAGTAGTAGAAGAGTTGGTTTTATACCCTGCTCTTCACTACTTGAAGGCGTCTCAGAGTGGCTTACAAACTCCTTTCCCTTTGCCTCCCCACAACAGACACCCTGTGAGGTAGGTGGGACTGAGAGAGCTCTTCCAAGAACTGCCCTTGAGAGAACAGCTCTGAAAGAACTTATGACTGACCCAAGGTCATGCCAGCAGCTGCATGTAGAGGAGTGGGGAATCAAACCCGGTTCTTCCAGATTAGAGTCCGTGCTCCTAACCAGTACACCACGCTGGTTCTCAATCCTACAGGTAATAAACAGTATTACCTTAAAGAATTCACAACTCGCAATAGTGATCATGTGGTCTATGCAATCTCATGTAGATGTGGAAAAATTTATGTAGGCAAGACAAACAGACCTCTTAAATTAAGACTCTCTCAACACAAAAGCAATATATCACATAAAATAATTGGTGCTTCTCTGCTGGAACACTTCTGAGAGCACAGTCACAAACCCACAGACTTTTTCATTTTGGGTTACATTTAAATGTAACAGACAGGACGATAGAATTCTGTTGAGGAAAGAAGCTGAATGGATTTCAAAACTGAAAACTCTGCACTCTAATGGGTTAAATGAGAACATCTCCTGGCAGTCCCTCACATAGATAAGAGCCAGGACAAGCTAGGGATCCCAAGTCCCCCCGGGGGGCGGGGAAATCCCCGCCCCAGAGGCCCGTTCCCTGGCACTGCCGGATCGGGCCCCGGGGGGAACTCCACCCCAACGTGCGCATCACCCGGAAGTGACGCGGGCACGGGGCCACGGCCATACAATGGAAAATTCTATGGTTTTTCCTTGTATGGCCGTGGCCCCGCCCCCAGCGTGCCTGCCGTCCTCCCGTCACTTCCGGGTGATGTGAGTGCGTGTGATGCTCCCGGCGAAGATAGACTTGGCAACCCTAGGACAAGCCCAGACAGCTCTCTCTGTTATAGTGTATAAATGGGAACAGTACTAAAAGAATCTGGAAGGTCAGTATGGTTCTTAAACAATTTAAATAAAGAATTCTTTGTGATTATATAATATGTAGTGGATGTTAATGCAGGTTCAGTCGTTTTAATATGAATCAACTCATTATGAATTGCACTCGGAACATGCTCCGTGAAATTGCTCCGTGTTTTATTGATGTATTAAATATGTTTTTATATTTGTATTATTTTGGTAGATTTCCCCTGACGATGCTGGATGCGAAATGTGTCAAGGTTGTATCAATCATTAAAGATTCTTTCCTTTGCAGCATTTGTCTTTCCATCTTCGTTTTGCCTTGGTGCGGCCCCCTCTTTTCTTCAGTCTCAACCCCGGGGCCAAACTACACAAGACATTTTGGAATTAGTTGGGTGGGGGCAAATGGAGTCCCCCCTCCAAGCTGCTTCAGAAAAGAGTTCAGGGGAGGCGGATTTTCACCCCACATGACGGTCCTGATTTGAATCAGGCCCCAGTGCACTTGGGAATGTTGATTCCCGCTCATCGCGTCTGGCTTTGAGACTGTCAAGAGTCGGGCTGGGGGAGCCCCTGTCTGACTTGTGCCAAAGCATCTCGTGTTGTTTGGCTCTGGGGTAGTACCTTTCGCTGTAAGTGGCCTGATTAAAGAAATAGGAGATGGATGAGCATTTCCTAAAAAAAAAAACAACCCTGACTGTTCCAAGTCCTTTTCTATATATTAAAAAGATACTGGCCCGAAATAAGTAAGTTTTATCATTTCAGAAGAGATCACTACTTGGCTCGCTTCCCTTGGCCTTCCCTCCTTCTAGTCTCCTCTGTGGGCGAGGAATCCCAACAAGCCTCTGCTCATGCGGAGATGCGAAGGAAACTGCACGGTCTCAAAAGAGACTGCTGCAACTCGGCATGAGTTACGACAGCAGACTTGCTCCCCTTTCAACATAGGCATGCTAAGTAAGATATTCATGGATATTCAAGGTGGACTCTTGTGAGGGAGGGTAACTGTTACTCTTCCACATGCTATAGGGAAATCTTTTTAGGGTGTAAGTGTGCTCCCAGTTTTAATACAGAAGTATAAGAAATCACAGCCCCACAGGACTATTTGCTTTTGTTTTGGTTCTGCAGCACAGAGACACGATAGAAAAGGGGGGGGGGAATTACCATCTTCGTCAGTACGAATGATGACTGGTGAGCTCTCAGGGCCTGGCCCCACTTTCGTATGCGCGGCGATGGTGATGCGGTATTCTGTCCACTTCTCCAGCGATTCCAGGAGGATCTGATTGGTCGTTGGGGCAATGTCGTTCACCTCTCGCAGCTCCGTGTCCTCCGAGTCCAGGGCTCGATAGCGGACGCTATATCCATCCAAGACTCCGTTTTGGCTTTCGGCCGGAGGGGGCCGCCAACTTACCAGAATGGCTGTGGATCTGACGCTGACGCATTTTACGTCTTGAGGGGGGGCGGACGGTTCTATGGGAGGAGTTGGGTAGCGGCAGGGAAGTCCAGGGAGGGAAGGTAGGCGGGAGGGGGAACGGAGAAGGGGGACAAGAGGACGGGGGGAAAACAAAAGATGGGAAAGATAAAAGAAAAAAAGGAAAATGATAACAAAAAAATCTAAAATAAAACATACAAAAATTTGGTTTAGGAAGATTTAAATTTAAAGGAAAAAAAAGGGGGGGGGAAACTTGCTTTTGAAATGAATGAAAATAAACCAGCAACGGAAACTAAGGGGATATTGCAACGCAAATCTTACAAAGCAAACAAAGAGATGCAGAAGGAGGGCTAACTGAGGGCTCCCTGGGCCTACTGCAACCAAAGGGGATCTCTCCTGATGTAACAATTGCTCTCTGCTTTAGAACTGGTTCCCACGGATGTGTCGATCTCCAAAAGCCCTATCTCAGAACCGCTCATCCAGAGAGCTCTGAGGGAGCTCTCTAAAGAACGGCTCACCCACTAATACTTCCAGGAAAGTCCAAGTGGATGAACAATCCTGCGATGGGTCTGTCCAAGACCCATCCGGCAGAGGCAAACGTTCCATGGGGAACAGACCTGAGAGGAACATCCCCAGCCCTCCAATCGCCTGCAGTCATGTTTCTTCAAAAAATGATCCTATGCAGGCAGGATGTCCCAGGATTGCTTGCTCCTGAGGAGAGCCACAAGAAAGGGAGGGTTCAGAAAGCGGATTCCTACCAGCCAGAAGGGCCTACAACCCATGGAGGATGGCAGGAGACCTCTCATCTGGAAAGAAATCAGTTTTCAAATGGCACACTGAAAACATTCGTGAATATGCAGCCCAGCCTGCACCACATGGCAGCCTGTGCTGCTTACTCATGGGTAATTCTTCACTTGCTCTTTAGGAAAGCAAACCGTGTATCCACAATACACAGAAGAATATTTGAGAAAGAAGAACACGGGGAGAGGGGCTGCCCCCTCCCCTCCCCTCCCAACTTGCCTGATGCAAACGGATCCTTAGGGTCAGAGCTAGAAGATCCACACATTCCCCCCCACACACTCTTATTGAAGCCTCTAACCCACTCACCCCCAATCCAGCAAATCCCCATTAAAAATGACATGCTATCCTGCCTTGAAAGTGTCACAAAACCCATTTGCAGAGCGGATTTGGGCCTTGCCATTTCAGCAGAGCCAAAGGAAAAGAGTTTGCTGGAGCAAAAAAAATGAAAACAAAGTTCAGTCTACAGATGTCTCCATGATGCATCTCTTAAGACTGTGGCCCAGGTCGCTAATTTCTATCATCATCTTTTTTTTTTTTTTTTTATGGCTGAAACCCCAGAATGGTATTTTGTACTTGGTATAACTGCTTCGGGAAGGACTAATGTAAAAAGTCACCCCAACCTCTGTTCTTTTTCCCTATTAAGAGCAGAATACTGGTAAGTACAACTAATGATTACCATCCTTTGTAGCCTGCAATTAAAATAGTAAAAAAAGTATCTGTTTTCTGAGGCCAATAAAAGGATAAGGTGATAAAAAATTAAGTTTTTTTTTTTTTTTTTGCTTTACTGTGTTTTGTGATTGAAGTGCATTTTCTGATCTGAAAGTCTGATCCGGAAAAAAATAAAATAAAATTGGGAAAGGTTATGAGGCTATGCATGTCCTTACTTAGGAGGAGTAAGTTCCATTGAATTGAGAGGGAGTTGCTCCTGAGTATAGGACTGTGCTATGAGATCTGCTGTCCCTTCTCCTTGCTTTTGTCCAGAAGGGCCTCCAACTGGCAGTTCGTAAGCCCTGAGGAGAAACAGCCACCCTGCTTCCTCTAGAAAAAAACCCAGGAATAATTTTTGGCAGTAGAATTTGACTGCCAGTCGACTGGTGTGTGTGTGTGTGTGTGTGTGTGTGTGTTTGGGTCTCTCCGCCTTATCATAGTCCTTTTAAGCCTATGATGTTTTCCTGCATAGTAGGGCTGCCAAGGCCCCCCCTCGGGGGGGCAGGGGGTTTCCTGCCCCAAGGGCCCCAAACCCGCCGGTCCGGATCCGGCTGGCGAGGGGAACCCCACCCCCAAAGTGCCCAGATGGGGCCGAAAATGTCGCCCGGAAGTGACGTCATTGCGCTGGCCATGTCGCCGGGCGACACTCTAGCAATCAGCCTGAAAACTCTATGGTACCATAGAGTTTTCAGGCTGATTGCTAGAGCATCGCCCAGTGACGTGCCCAGCATGATGATGTCATTTCCGAGCGACGTCATCACGGTGCGCGCAAGAATGTCCCAACCAGGGACCGAGTCTCCCCTGCTGCGCCAGGCAAGACACTTGGCATAGACTCTTTGCTCTCTTGAAGATTCTAGTTAAAACAACTTCTGATATCCCGTCATCCATCCGCTCTTGGCAAACTGAGCTTCCTACGCTCTGCCAGCCACTCAACTATAAAGAAAGCATACTGAAACCAAACTAACAAGCTCGGGAAGCAAAACAACCAAACAAATGATTTAACAATAAAACAAAATTGTTGCCTTTGACAAAAACGAGCATGCATATATATATATCGATCAGAGGAAGGGAAAATAAAATAATACAAAAATAAAACCTCAAGTAATACATAAATACAAAACAAAGCCTTCCGGAGTCCTTGACGTCTTGTTTTACCTACCTTCTGCAACAGCTAACTTTATATGACTTTCTTACGAGAGAGCTCTGCAGAGGCCAAGCCAGAATCCTAGTGGGTTTCTAGGACACAACTCAGATCTCGCTGTTCCCCTGCTTATGACACACCACCTCCTCCCTTTCCCACTTGATCTTCCTCTTGGATCAGATTTCACACAACAATGGGAATCGGAGAACCTGCAGCAGTTAGTATGTGGGATCGTAATTTGGAGATCTGGGTCCAGATCTCCCCCAGCTGCACAGTTTTACTGTGTGCACTTAGCCTGACCTACCTCACAGGGTTGTGGTAAAGATAAAATGGGGAATGTATGCTGCCCTAAACTCTGTGCAGAAGACTGGAATAAAATGTAAATAGTTAGGGAAAGAACGTATCAAAAGGTGCGGGCATGAAGCGAAAACAAAGTTTGAACACCTGCCCTCCTCAACCGGTGGCTGTGGCTGTTCAGCACAGTGCTGGGGTCACACCATAGATAGGGAGGTGCACAGTGCTGATAATCCCTTCTTATGTGGGACAGTATGCATCGGTTTCAAAAGATAATGGGGTGAGAATGGAAGGAAAGAGCCCACCCCACTTCCCTCCAACTAGTGAAAGGTGCCTTTGAGACACACCTTTGGAACCTGCAACTGTTTGTTTGGCAAAGGCCCATAGCCAGAAATTTTGTAATGGGCCCTCAGATAGGGTTGCCAGGTCTGGGTTGGAAAATTCCTGGAGATTTGGGGGTTGGTGCCCGAGGAGGTCAGGGTTTGGGGACGGGAGGCACCTCAGCAAGGTATAATGCCATCGACTTCATCCTTCAAAGCAGCCATTTTCCCCCGGGGAACTGACATCTGGAGATCACCAGGCCCTGCCTGGAGGTTGGCAATGTCAACCTCAGAATACAATCATGACGCTGCTGGAAATCACAGCAGCAAAAACCCAAGATGGCTCCTGTGTGTTGAAAGTTATTTACTTTCTGAAAATTGAAATATGACAGATAAAGTGGATGAATGCTAACTTGTTCAATTTGCTCAAAAACCCTCTGAGAATATGCGGACTGTTAATATTTGAATATTTGCCATTTAGGTAACTCGTTTATTTCTCTGTCCCCGCTGGGTGCATGGATATTGGGACTGGGTCATGAATGAGGCAGACCGGTAAGAACAACAGTGGCCTCAAGGGGGGCACATCCCCCCCCATAGTTTTCAAAAGCTCTGCTTTTTAACGTATTCACTTCCCCATTCTTAATCTGTCCCCGTTTCGTTTCCAACTATATTCCTAAATAATACTAACGTAACTTGCATTTTATGAATCTTGTGAGCTGCTTGACTTGAAAAGCAGGACATGAATCCAGTACCTAACACCCCCCCCCCGATCTGTACAGTCCTCTACCATTTTCATTGTCTTTCTTTTTTTAGCAGAGGGGGGCTTCTAGTTCGAGAAACTGAGGTTTTAACCCGTTCCAGTGTCTCTAACCTCCTTCCCAGTTCTTCTGATCACAACTGCAGTTTTTGAGGCTGCTTTTTTGGGGGGGGAGGGTCTGTTTTAAACAAAAACTGTTGTAAGATGGTCATGCGGAGCCCTCATCTTCTCAAAGTCATCCTAGGCGACTGATGAGGCCTCAGCCATTTTAGTCCTCAGCGGCTTGTTGAGAGTTTGAAGGTTTACTTTCTTTAAAACTACAAGGGGTTGGAGCTACTGTGGAGGTTTTATAGGGTTGTCAACTTGTGATTTTAAGATCACAATCCCATTTCCCACATGGAGATGGATCAAGACGGGTGGCCATGTTAGTCTGTCCAATCCTACAGGTAATAAACAGTATTACCTTAAAGAATTCACAACTCGCAATAGTGATCATGTGGTCTATGCAATCTCATGTAGATGTGGAAAAATTTATGTAGGCAAGACAAAGACTCTCTGAACACAAAAGCAATATATCACATAAAATAATTGGTGCTTCTCTGCTGGAACACTTCTGAGAGCACAGTCACAAACCCACAGACTTTTTCATTTTGGGTTACATTTAAATGTAACAGACAGGACGACAGAATTCTATTGAGGAAAGAAGCTGAATGGATTTCAAAACTGAAAACGCTGCACTCTAATGGGTTAAATGAGAACATCTCCTGGTAGTCCCTCACAAAGATAAGAGCCAGGACAAGCCCAGACAGCTCTCTCTGTTATAGTGTATAAATGGGAACAGTACTAAAAGAATCTGGAAGGTCAGTATGGTAAAACAGCAAGAGTCCAGCAGCATCTTAAAAACTAACAACATTTGTGGCAGGGTGGGAGCTTCCGTGAGTCACTGCTCACTTCTTCAGATAGATCAAGATGGGTGGTCATGTTCGTCTGCCTGTAGCAGGGGAAAAGAGCAAAAGC